AATATAAAAGATCTGAAAAAGGTTTGAATAAAAATAGACATTACCCTTGATTATATGGTCATTCTTCGATCCAAAACAAGGCTTAACCCTAATATATATTCAATTTTGAATTTATGTTTTAGTGTGTATTCTACTATAATATTTTTGTCTATAAAACACTAATTTGTTAACAACTTTAACGATTTAATATTGATTAAACCAATAAAGTATGAACTCTATGATGCACCATTCATACTCGAGTTCGATTCTGACGGTACACAGATAAATTGTGTTAGCCAAAGAGGCTAAAACCCGAAAAAGGTTGTCAACCAGTGGGTCGACCCGCCAGTTGGTCCGCTTTGACCCTGACCCGGTGAAAAAAAATGGGTCGTACTGATAGGGCAAAAGCGTATGCCTTAATCCGATCTCGTAGTAAACCGAAAAGTCCGGGTATCGTCTCTAAGAGACTGGTACAACCTTTTATTCTATCAATTTATAGAGCAAACTATAGGTGAAAATGGTTTAATGAGACTAATTATCTAAAAGCAAACTAAACTAAACAAATTAAGCAAATGAAAACTGTCGGGAGAAATTCAATGGAGAAAGCTCTAGGAGAAACACCGGGACTCAGTACCTATCATATCCAAATTAATTCACATATTCCAATCAATTTAATCCAACTCTCTACAGCCAGGATATCACGAATGTGCTAGCTATCCCTGTCTGGAATTACTACGTACTAAACAATCAATTCAAATCCTACTGTCGTAGCTCAATGAATTAACTATTTAGCCTGAAGAACGATATCCCAATCAAGACCGCATAGTATCTTATTTAATCCACTGTCGCTTCGATAAGTTACTATGTCACATGAAATATGTTCAGTTATTAGGGTTTCACTGTCGCTAATAACCTAATTAACTACAAATCAATGTATTGGTGGCCAGTCAACACAAAGCATTAAGTAATTTCATGCAATAGAGATTGAAAGAAAAGAAATATGAATCAATCCATCAAATATAGAAATAGCTACATCATATGGTTTTTCCCCCGGAAATTGTGGTTTAGTTCATGACGAAAATAAAACAAACAATCATGTTTATAATCATCAACGTATCAATTAAAGCTAAAGGAAAAATACTGAGATTCTCGAACGTAATCTCGCTACCAATTCCTTCTCACTTCAATCGCCTGTTGCTCTCCCGAAACTTGCTTCGCCCCAAATAAAATCGTTTTCTTCTCCCCGGCTGCGCTGCGCTGCTTCCTCTCACCCAAAAGAGATTTCCTCCCCCAGAAATTCCTTGTCCCAGCCGAAGCTTTTTCAAAAAAACCCTTCTGTCCCAATTTCTTTTAACTATTCCTCCATCCAAATACGTGTACCAATTCTCCTCCTCCCTTCTATTTTTTTTCCTCCGCCCACCAAATTCCTCCCCTCCAGCTAATTTCCGACCCAAAATTAGTTGCCAAGAGAATTCCCTGGCCCAAGAATTCTCCTCCTTTTCTTCTTTCCTCTTCCGCCCAGCTCTGGAGAAAGGGATTTGAATGGGCTTTGGCCCACTTCTTTTGGCGGGCAACTCAATTAGAAGATCCCCAGTCCAATTATCCTTTCTGCTCCAATATTCCGTCCGGGTCCAAAAAATGCTTCCCTCCTCTTCAGTCCGTTCGTCCAGGGAAAGAAGGCCAATACTACAGTGCCGCGGTTAAAAGTGCTGCACCGGTACCGCTATATTTGATTGGTCCACGTGGTTGTACACGATTTGATTCTTTTTCTCGAAATCGAGCCCAAAACCCATCGACCAGACCATCCAACCAGGAATCCTTTTTCTCCGAACCAGCCTCGTCTTCTTCCTCGCCATCCCTCTCTGGGGAGACTGTGAAAGGCAAAATCTCGTAGGCGAACACATCATCTTCCTTGCCCTCCCTCAACGTTCCCTGATAAGTTCTTCTTAATCCTTCCACACCCAATAATCAAAAACAACCAAAGCAAGAGAGATCCTTAACTGAAATACACAAATAAGTTGAACTCGAAATCCTCAATCGTCCCTGTCTTCAGCAAAATCTCCTCCCGCTACCCATTGCTCGAAATTTCCCCCTGGGTTTGCCCTCCAAATATCTCCTCAATCTGAGCACGATGTCTCTGGAATTTGCGTTCCGTGTATCTGGGGTGATAAAACGGTGACTTCCTGCCTCCGACCTCCTTTCTACCCACTTCGACCTCTGTCACAATAAAGAATAAACGCCTCCTCTATCGCCTCGATTCATTCAACTGCACTTCCTGCAACCGATCAAAGAACAAGGGAAAAACTGGGAGTTCTACGAGATTTCCAAGTTCCATAATTTTATCCATCCTGATTATTGGAATTGGTTATTGTGAATCAGAGCAACTGTACCTGGTAACATTTGCCCCTAAACTTGTGCAATAGATGACAATTGAGGATTTAGTCGGAGAACTTAGATGCAGAAGATAACTACTGACATTTTTTGTTCACCTGTAATTCTTATACCTACAACATTTATTCACATGCAAGAGCTTGTTGGTTTGCTTTTGGTTATGATTGGTCCTGCCGAGTGTTGTGGCAGAAGATAAAACTACTGCTAGTAAGATAGTAACTATTGCTGGTCAATCGGGTTCTATTTTTTTATGATTGTTCTCTGTCTTTGTTCTTAGGAAGAATGATTATGGATCTTTGGTGCAGAAGACATAACTACTACCGACAAGGAAATTCAAATTCCATGGAACTTGTGCGCTATTGTGAAGCTTAAAAGTGGTTCTTCTCTAGTTCTCTTACACTTGGTTAGGAAGCTCAAGGTCCAGAATTTCTTCAAGACAGAAACATATGCAGCGACGTTGATAGTTGATATGAATGTGTATGGACCATAGCCATGATAACAATGTTACTGAGATTTTATGGGTAGCTTGCTTACTGCTGGGATGTATGACTGTGAGGCACAGTTTCTGCATTTAATTAGGAGTTCGCTGGACCTAGAATTAGAGGAAGTCTCCAGTCAAAATAATGTAATGGACTAATGGCTACTCTATTTTTATAGTTCTAGTAGCAGACATATTTTCTCTACCTTATACTTCTCCTGTACTGTCTCGAGTAAACATAGTCATCATCTGCAAAGGGAAGCTGTTTCTCTTTCAGAAGAAATGCATACTAAACTTTGAAGAGATTGAGTCAAGTATAAAGGGCCAAACATTGTAAGGAGATTGGTGGAAAACCCTATCAAATCAAACTCTTTCCTACTTCCAATAGATCTCACCACAACCTTGTCCATGTCAACTGAAATCGGTTCATGAGTTCCTCTCGTTGAAAAAGTCCAAGAAGTAGAGAACATATTCAACAAACAAGAAACTAGCTATCAGCTAAAGTAAAACAAGCAGAAATGAAGTAGAAGCAGCAGAGAACTAATCAAGCAGACAAGAAACTTGCTACTGCTGCTATTTTTTTTTAACATTTACAAGCATTACATGCACAATGGATCGGGTATACATATAAGATTTTCTTCATTTTCCATTTTACTTTGTCAAGAAATATTCGAAACTGTTGTGGATATCACATGCCAGTTTACTCCAGGTAAATCGAAGAGGTTGTATACGAGATTGGATCGATGGCGGAGAAGTTTGTTGGAACGTTTTGTTGCCTTACCGTCCGACTGAGAGGGAGTGCGAGGATTAGGAAGACGATCAGATTGTTTCTGGGATCTTGCCGCTTTTTTGGGAAATTATAATAACTAATTAATTAAAATAAATGAAAATAAACTAAGAAAAAAATGTTTTTGTGTAAAAGAGGGAAGTACCTAACGAGAGAGAAAGGGGTGGGGAAAAGATTGTTTGGTCAGTGGTTGGCTCAGGTTGATGGGTCACGGATTTGGGTTGATCATTAGTAACTAATGCCATGTCATACTGTCAATGCCACGTGGACCAATCAAATGTAGCGGCACCGGTGTCTCACTTTTAATCGCGGCACCGTAGTATTGGCCGGGAAAGAAATAGGATGGGCCAGTTGGCCCATTGTTAATTCGCCAAAGGTGAAGGAATTAATTCCTTCTGATCCGACAGTAAAAAGCACCCAAATATTGCCCATTTAATTTGTCTATGCTTCTTCTCCAATTTATCCGTGCATCCATAATCTCTTGTTTTTTCGCCTAAAATATATCACAATACTAACACATGGTGGTAATGGTCTTATATCCATTCCAGAGTCAGTTGACCTTAAAACAAGCATTATATGTCTCAAACATATCATGTAATAATCACATTAAGCACACAGAATCAATATGTTTTCGATAATTATCACGTACACGCCCGTCGAGTGGACCATCTGCAAGGTATCGGATTAGAAGTCAAACGACGTCGCTTTTTTATTTTGTGAAATGCACTTATTTTCCGATATTTCTTTTTGTTTAATCCAATATTTTGGAATTTTAAGTTCAAAATTTGAACATTAATGCTATATAAGTATGTGTAAATTTTCACTATATGTTGGATTTAAGTACGACATATTATTTTGGTTTAATATTACATGTTATTACTCATATGTTGGATGATGATATGGTATCCTAGTAACTAAGGAAGCAAAACCCTAGCTAATGGCATAAGGAAGAAAAGAAGATAAAAGAGCAAAAAGACAAGGCCAGGAGACAAGAGACAAGGCCAGACACCTGACATTAGCAAAGACAAGGTGCAGTGGGACACCCTCTGCCAAAAAGTACAATGTACAATGTCAGAAGGTTTGAGGCGCCCGAATACAGCATTTATGGCTTGACAGGCGCCCAGACCACTACCTAACCCTCAGATGTGTATAAATAGAAGTTCTCTCCTCATAAATGGCAATCTATCTACTCTTTACTCTAACTTCTCTCTACTTTCTCTCTTTATATACTTCTTCTCTTTTCTCACTTCTGCTGTGGTGAGGCACCTACCCCCTTAAAGTCATGGCTGAAGCCCCAAAGCCCTTGGATTCGAGCGACTCCAGTCGCCCGGGCTTAAACAATTGGCGCCCACCGTGGGGCCAAACATGACTTTGAAAGACGCTTCTAACTCAAAGAAGGGGGAAGAAAGGAGTCCAGCACCAACAAAGACCCCACTCAAACAAGTTGTTGGTCGAGAAGCGATCAACCCCCAACCACTTACCATCCAAGGTTTGGAAGCATCCGATGATGATGATCCATCAGGAGACGGAGAAGACACGGAGCGCCTGAGGTGTCAACTGGCGAAGTTCCGGGAAAAGCAAGCGCTTCAAATGGCGAGCATGCAAGGCCAATTAGATCAAGTCATGGCCGCATTGTCGGCATTGACAAAAGCAAACGATCACGCGCCTCCCAATTCCCAAGAAGCCACTGAGGAGAGGAGGCGCCTCAAGTGAATGATGCAAGAGATCGAGGTGCTACCCATGAACTCCCCGCGGGAGGGTGTGGGCGGCTCACCAGAAGAGGACGCGATTGAAGCTGATGACGACACCTACCTAGAGAGGTATGCTCGACCCAACTGCGGCGCTTCGGAAGAAAGAAGCGTCCAAATTATTAGGCAGCCGTTGTCAAGAGGAGTGCTCGAAACAACAATCCCACCAAATTTTGCAAGCATAGGCCTACCTTCGTATGAAGGAAAATCTGACCCAGAGGATCACTTGAATGCGTTTTGTCGAAAAATGCAACTTCTCAATGCGTCTGACGCCGCCTTGTGCAAGTAACCATGGTAAAGCAAAGTTGTCCCTTTTTTAACAAATGGAGTCTCCCCAGACTCGCTTCCTCCGTCGAGGAGAAGCCTAAGCGCATCATTTCCTTCTCAGGGGTACACGTAAGGAAAGTCAATTCCTGCTTAAGATAATCATCTTAACAAAACTTTCACCCGCGATTAGCGGAAGAGGCCTAGTGCTTACGCTCGAATTTTTATCCGAGCATCGGGTGCTCGTCTTACGAGTCCCCATAAGAGGCGATGTCTTGACCACATCCCTCGCACAATTTCCTGCCTTGCCAGAAGGGGTTACCAAGACCCGCTTCCTCCGTCGAGGAGAAGCCAAAACGTGTCACTCCTTTTCCAAGGGTACGCGTAGGACGATTAAAACCGCTTCCTTCGTCGAGGAGAAGTCTAAGTTCGTCACTCCCCATTCAGGAGTACGCATGGAAAAGCTAGCTTAGAACAAACACCCAAGTCAATTCACAAAAACGAGTTAAGGTGGTAAAAGAATAGGAGTTTCTTAAAAAGGGGAGTCATCAGAGTTATGAGATCAATGTTCAGAAGCACAATTAAACATCCTCCGAAGGCAAGCGCAAGGGCAAGCTAAACAAAAGATGCATCAACAAAAGGCGCATCAACCCGTCAACATTATCCAAACAAGCAATAAAGACACCCCAACTCTACTAGTCTGACTTGCTCGAAGCATCATCGGAAGAGCCAGAGTCGTCGAAGGTGGCACCATCTGAGGCGCCACCCTGACCGTCAGTAGCAGGAGCATCCTTCCCACCATCCTCCTCGGCACCAGCATCGGCATCGGTAGCACCCTCGACGTTGTCACCCACTTCTTCATCACCGACCCCCTCAACGTCAACCTCGATATCATCAGCTGAAGAGTTACCCTCATCTAATGGGAACATATCCGAGTCGGCAGGCTCATGGTCTGTACAAAGAGACAGAAAGTAATCATCCATTGCCTGCCAAACCTCGGGAGTGTCCCACTTCATGACAGGGTTATCGAAGCGAGCTTTCTTGCGGATGCCAATGAAAGCTCTCTTCTCCACACCAATTAGGAGGTCTCGCTGCCAGTTGCGAAACTCCGCTGACGTCAAATGAGCATCCACAACATCCTCACGTTCATTGTCTAGTTTCTTCTTGAACTCCTCGTAAAAGAAGAAGAGTTTAGCTCATTAAGAGGTTGACAACAAAACTCGGGGGCGCCACCCCCCCCCCCAATTGAAGAGAGAGCACACAAAGAAAGTCTTACCTGCTGGCGCTTCCCAACTGAAGACATGGCATGCACCTCCTTCTCCAAATCCTCAATCTTTTTGGACCGAAGTGCCAACTCTTTCTCCATTTCCTCACGAGCAGAGACGCTCTCGGCAGCTAGGGCATCAGAAAGTAATTGCTTCACCAAGGACAACTTGTCGCCCAAGCGAGAGTTGACGCCTTGCAGGATGGCCTTATCAGACTTCAGTTGAGAAGCAAGCAGGTAGTTCTTGTGAGCACGCTCGCGGTTCTCCAGACTTTTATCAAAAAGTGCCACCACATCAAGCATTGCCTGAACAAGGAACCATGACATTAGCAAAAAACAGGTATTTCAGCGAAGCAAAGGTAAGGAGGTAAAAGCATACCTGAAACAAATGTTGACATGCCGAGCCTGCAGGAGAGGTGCCCTCGTCGAGAGGGAGCTTCAGAAAGTTTCTCAACTCCGTGCCAGAAGTAAATGCGCTTGGAGCGTTGAGTGCAGTAGAAGGAGAGATCGGAACAAGCTCTTTTGGCTTCACAACACGCCGGGAGAGAGGATGCGCCAGGATCTCGTCAATACCTCCAAGTCCAGGCTTCTTCTTTTTCTTTTGCAGCTCAGCAGAAGAACTCGTAAAAGTAGGGCGCTTCCCCAAGGTTTTCTCTGGGAAGGGGTCGCGCGGATTCAAAGGAGGGACCAAATGAGGAGAAGATGCCTCCTCAGTAGCGGCAGGCACCTGGTCAGATCAGCGAAGCGCGCGCCCTGCAGAAGCGCTAGGCGCCTTTTGCGATCCAACCCCAGAGGTGCTAGGCGCCTTCTTTGACATCCTTACCAAGCTAGAGTAGTCAAAGTCTGCAAAAAAAAAAAGAGTTATGCAAATGACATAAGTTGAGAACTAAAACAAAATCGTTATGAAGGAAATATATCGTGATCATAGAGCTCTCCCAAAGTGCGTGCTCTCTCCCCTTTTCTCACAAAATCCACAGGAGGCGCCCGAAGAACGTGATGCTTCTGCTCACGCTCAAACTTCCCAAAGGAAAAGTCCTTGGCCCACTCCTCGTCTGAACCTTCACGCCACAAAGTCGAGAGAGGCCCCCCGTTGGTGCATGCCAAGCACCAGGGCGCGATCTAATAAAAAAGTAGGAGCAATACCATTTGCTGGGGAGTTTGGGTGACCCCTTGCAAACCCGGCCATGATACTTGTTGTCACGCTTCAAAGCTGACCAACCATGCTTGCCCCGTTCTAAAGCATATATACTTCGAAAAATAGAGAAGGAAGGGTCGTAGCCTAGGCGCTTGCAGATAAGTCGGAAGGCATAAGTGTGAAAGATAAGCGAAGGTGACAAAAAACTAAGGGGACACCCAACCATCTCCAAGATACCCGACAAGATGGGATCGAGCGAGAATTTCAGGCCACACTTTATATACTCTGAATAAATCGCAAACCAACCCTCGGGGCAGCTGCCGACGCGCGCACTAGGAATTGGAAGTGCGTACTCCCAATCTGTGGGAAATCTTAGGCTACGAACATAGGACACGACCCGGTGCAGCTGGATGCTGGGCTGTTTATCAGGACCAAGGGAACGAGCAGAGGAGGGGGGCGCCTGACCATCCCACATCCCCCTCCACAATAGAATGCAGTAGTTTGGGTCGCTAGTCACTCAAAAATTGCATGTGCCAGGTTCGAGCTCGACACTAGACATGTCACCCTTAGTAAACGCCTCTGCTTGGGGATTAGACTCATCATCCTCAACATCACTGGCAATCTCGGAAATCCTCCACTTAGCCTTTCTATATACTGCCCAATCAACTAAGACTTCCTAAAGATATGTGCTAGTGAGAAAAGTTAAAACAAAATAGGGAAAGCGTTACTTACCCATTTTCCTGACTTTGCTCGAAGAGGCCTTAGTCTTCCCTTTAGAAGGAGCGGAGGCGCCACCCATAGAAGCAGACGGCTGTGAATTATTGGACGCCATAGCAAGGAGAGAAAGGTGGGCAGAAAAGCGAGTCTTGGAGGAGAAACGGGTGCAACGCCGAAGCCGGTACCGTGCAGGCAAAAAAAAACCGTTATCACGCCTCGTAACCTCAGGAGGAAAGGCATCTTAAGACGCCTTGAAGCTGAGTCTCCATCACGAACAAGGAATAGCGTAAGGACCATAAAGCGACAAGCAAAGTAAGACGCTTAGCAAAATCCAAGGAGTGGCGTCCAAAAAGCAAGGGGCAAAGCCTACCTATGTCAGTAGGCGAGAGCGCCTAAAGAATTGGAGGAGAGCTTTCGAGCGGGTAGCGCCTGCAAAAGCAGTAAGATGAGGAAATCAGAGGGTGCCCCCAATATTTACGAAATCTGCAAGAGTGGCGCCTCCCGGCCTACAAATCCTACGAGGGGTGGCGCCTAACATAGCAAATAAATGGATCCCAATAGCTAGCGAAACGCAGCGAGAAGACGCGGACGTTCGGAGGCGCCACCACTCGGGTTTAAAAACAGCAGGAGTTAAAACGTACCTAATCTGTGGGGGGAGGCGCCCAGCAGAGTAGTCGAATCGAAAGAGGCGCCGATTAGAGCTTTCAATGGGTTGGCGCCTGCAAAAGAAGCAAGCTAGGGAAATCAGAAAACGTCTCCACTACTTACGAAATCCTCAAGAGTGCGCCTCCCAGCCTACAAATCCTACGAGGGGTGGCGCCCAAGATAGCAAACAAAACATATCCCAATAGCTAGCGAAACGCAGCAAGCAAACGCGGATTATCGGAGGCGCCGTCGTTCAAGTTCAAAAAGAATAATCGGAGGCGCCACCGTAATTCAAAAGGAATCATCGGAGGCGACGCCGTTCAATTCAAAAAGGATTATCGGAGGCGGCGCCGTTCAATTCATATAAAACATACCTAATGCGCGGAGGGTGGCGCCCAGGAGAGTAGTCGGAGCGAGAGAGGCGCCAATGAGGAGGAAGAGGCGCCTGCCCAAGCAACCGGAGCGAGGCGATGCGAGGCGCCGAGGAGAAAGGGGCAGGCCATCGAGGCGAAGCGAGGCGCCACAGGAGAGAGAGAGGTCTGCCGAAAAATTGGAGCTAAAAAAAAAGTGAAGAGAGAATGAAATGAATGAAGTGAATGGATAGGAGGGCGCATGGTTCTCGAAGCGGGCTGCCCCAGGGCCCAACCTTCTATCGCCTCCTCTCAATTAAAATCACCCTCTCCAAGCTTAAAAGTGGGCTTGGCCCAAAGCCGCGACTAGCAGCCTATATGGGGTGGCGTTTTCGCCGCCACTCCACTCCTTGTCAATAGCCTTTGTTTTTTTTATACTTATTCTAATTTTTTATTTATCTTTTATAATTTTTTGGTATTTTTCCATCAAAGAGCATACTTGTTTGACGATACCGCAATATCCACGCCATCGCCAAAAGGGGCAATTGATAGGGTATCCTAGTAACTAAGGACGCAAAACCCTAGCTAATGGCATAAGGAAGAAAAGAAGATAAAAGAGCAAAAAGACAAAGCCAGGAGACAAGAGATAAGGCCAGACACCTGACATCAGCAAAGACAAGGTGCAGGGGGACACCCTCTGCCAAAAAGTACAATGTACAGTGTCAGAAGGTCTGAGGCGCCCGATCACAACATTTATGACTTGGCAGACGCCCAGACCACTACCTAACCCTCAGATGTGTATAAATAGGAGTTCTCTCCTCATAAATGACAATCTATCTACTCTTTACTCTAATTTCTATCTACTTTCTCTCTCTATATACTTCTTCTCTTTTCTCACTTCTGCTGAGGTGAGGCGCCTACCCCCTCAAAGTCATGGCTGAAGCCCCAAACCCCTTGGATCCGAGCGACTCCCAGTCGCCTGGGCTCAAACAGATGAGATTTCATATAATATATATATATATATATATATATATATATATATATATATATATATATATATATATATATGGCGGTGTATTCGGTACACCCATTTTTTGGGGTGCACTCAATGCACTCGCCTGATAATCATCATTCCGAGCATTCGATTTATGTCAATACGGTATCTATAGTCGCTTATGATATTATGAACAATAAACACATGAATTTGCAAAATAACTCATTTAATATTTACTTTAATTTGAAGGATTTAGGATTTACGGATTTAGGGTTAGGGTTTAGGTTTACAATTTGGGATTTTGGTATTGGATTCATAATTGAAGATTAACAGGTTAGGGTAATGGCTTGATTAGTTGTGATTTTATGTTATATCATCATATTATACTAATGCTATCAATTAAAATTCGAAATTCTTTGTATTGTAGTCACTTTTAGAGTTGGGTGCACTGAATGCACCCAAAAAAGTGAGTGCACCGAAGTAGCCACCATATATATATATGGTGGCGTATTCGGTGCACTCACTTTTTTTAGTGCATTCAGTGCACTCGCTTCATAATCGTTATTTTAAACATGTGATTTATGTCAAAATGATGTCAATCATCACTTATGATGTGATGAACAATTACGCACATGAATTTGCATAAAAATCATTAAAGATTTACTTTAATTTGAAGGATTTAGAGTTTAGAGATTTAGGGTTAGGGTTTACAATTTGGGGTTTAGGGATAGAACTCAAAATTAGAGGTCTAGAGTTTAGGATAATCCGTTAATTAGTTGTTATCATATGTTTTATCATCATATTACACTAATTCTACAAATTAAAATTCAAAATCCAACACCTTAAGACTAGTTTTTGAGTTGGGTGCATTGAAATTGAACGCACTCATTTTTGTGAGTGCACCGAAGTAGTCACCATATATATATAGGAACAATATAATGAGTTTTACTACATCTCTAGATTAAACCAGGCTAAAGTGATTGACCTATTAACCGTCAATCCACTTGCTTGATCGAATTAATGGGCTTAACCGGGTTGACAAGTGACAACCTTGCACGAAAGAGAGAATCTTGAATATTAGAAATGAGAATTAGTGCATATGAGAGAGAATTAGTATCAGCTGGTACTTGATCGAGACGACAGCTGCCTGCCTGTCTGTGCCTGAACTCTATTCCGGTCAATCTTTCTTTCTTAAATTGATTTCTTTTTATGTCGCTGTTCACTCTTCCGAAGCGGTTCTTTCCAGCGACGGCGTCGATTTCTCTTCTGCACCAGCAGCACCATCTAATCTCCGGCCCCAGGAAGACGACGGAGCGAAGAAGGTCGTCCGCTATCAAAATGTCGGCCGGGACATCATCGCCGTCCCAATCGCTGTCTCACTCCATCACCCTGCCTTCCCAGCCCGCCAATCCTGTCCCTGTTGTTGCTGCACCCGGCGTCTCCGAGTCCGCCTTCCGGTGCGAGATTATTGATTTCTTTTGCTTCTCTCCGTCGCAGCATTTCTTTGTTTCTCTGTAGGAGGTCTGAAGCATGTGCTTTTGTTTTTTTGTAGGACTGCTATAGATTCTTCGCTCTTCAAGCAGTGGCTGCAGAACTTGCAATCCGAGACTGGGATTTTGTCGAATGGAGATTTAATGCTGAAGCAAGTCCTTGTTCAGGTTGCCAATTCTGGGTTTTGCACAATTTGATGTCTATCGCTTCGTCTTTTTTGGTTTTTGTTGCTGTAAGTTTAGAGCTTTACTTGAAACAGTTTGGAGTTGATTATTGTTTGAAATGAGTTCAGCTGAGCTGACAAGAAATGGGAGAAAGACTTTCGAGGATAAAATTTAGATTCTTTCTGGACACTTCAAGCCTAGGGTCTGGGCTTGACTGGTTTCACAAGACATATAGATGGATAGTTTGGAATTGACTCGAATTGCCTGATATCTGGACACTTGATTGAAATAACCCTTTAAAGTAACCTGCCATGTTAGAAGGCAATGTCATGGGTTTGAATTGTTGGAGGGAGCTAGAGGTATGGCCTCTGGAACTGCAAACAGAAATGGCTGGTGCATAGCTGAATGGCAATTTAGGTTGTGTTTAGGTGCTGCAATAAAAATAGAATATATTTCTGATGAGTGCTTCGTGAAGATTTCTTTGTATTTTGAGAGAACCAGTGTGCTATAGTTACTTCTCGTAACCCGCTGGAATCTAACTTACCTGCATGTCCTTTAAGCTGTATGAATTAAGATGGAACAACTGGGTCATGTTACTACACTGATGTGATGGAATTTTTACGCATCTTTATGATGGTTTACTATTTCTTTGTCACATATGATTTCATGTCTTTTGGAAGTACCAGTTTTACTTGAGAAGGTAGCTACTTAACATATCAGATTAGTTGACAGGGAGTCGATATGTTTGGACAGCGTGTTGGGTTCCTAAAGTTCAAGGCAGATATTCTTGATAAGGAAACAGGAGCAATGGTATGTACTTATCTCCCTACATAGAGCCTCATCCTTGCTTGATCAATCCATCCAGCTTCCTAACCGATTTGGTATTTAGCTGTGATAAGTAACCACTCACTTTGACGGTTTCCATAGAAGGCAATTTGTAGGAGTTAATTTGACTGTAAGTTGGGGATTGGAAGGAAGGGGCATGAGTGGAGTTCGAGATAGTGGATATGATATGTTGAAGAGTAGAAGAAGATTAAAGAGAGGATTTAGGGAGCAGAAGTACTCGTTTGAGTTTACTAAGCTCTGATACTATAATAAGACTGCGAACGTGACTGTTGTATTATTGATTTACATTATTTAAACTACAAGAGCTGCAGCTGAATGTTAAACAGAAATGGTAAAATACAGCAAGAGGTGGAACATAAATATAGAAATAGAATGGAGAAAGAATCGGGGCATGAGTAATAGAGTGGAAACAGAGTGGAAAGCATCAAAGTGAGTGGTTGCTTATCAAGATGAATGTCTGCACTCTACTTTTTTTGCATCTTATGACCTTCAATAATCTGTATAATGCTTTAGCAATGCTATTCCAACCCCTAATGATCCAAAAGTGCTTATAGCTCTACTGTGCTACTGGATGAACTGTGTTATCTTCCTGTATGGACTGAAAATCGCATAGGTTCCAGGTATAGTGTTTGCTAGAGGGCCGGCAGTGGCAGTGCTGATCCTTTTGGACTCGGAAGGCAAAACATATGCTGTTCTCACTGAACAGGTGCTTTTCCCCCATCTAATCTTCCCAATAACAAGACCTTCAAGTTGAAATGTTGCTTCTAACCCTTTTAATCGTTGTCACTAATTCAAAGGTTAGGGTACCCACTGGGAAGGTTGTTTTGGAATTACCAGCTGGGATGTTGGATGACGACAAAGGTGACTTTGTTGGCACAGCGGTTCGTGAGGTATATCTCTTCCACCCTGTGTAAGTTGCTTCACTAGTTTTCAGCATTTTCTAATCTGACGGCTTTAACACAGGTTGAAGAAGAGACAGGCATTCAATTGAAACTCGAAGACATGGTTGACCTAACAGCTTTTCTTGATCCTAGTACTGGCCACCGAGTTTTCCCATCCCCTGTATGTTAACACATAGTTCCTCTGTTCCTGTTTTTGTCTCATTTTCAATAGTTAGACACACTGACTCTTCCCTTCTTCTTTTGGGCGCATGTCAGGGGGGATGTGATGAGGAAATCAGCATGTTCCTTTACAGAGGAAGTGTTGACAAAGAAGTCATCACACAGCTGCAAGGGAAAGAAACTGGCCTACGAGACCATGGCGAGCTCATCAAAGTTCGTGTTGTTCCTTATGAGACACTTTGGCGTGTGACGGCTGATGCCAAAGCTTTGATGGCCATAGCCCTATATGAGATGGCCAAGAAACATGGATTGTTGCCTCTTTGAAGCATGTTTCCCCTGGTTCTTTGTTGCTGTACAATCCTTCTAGATATTTTGCGGTAGCCCCTATAACTTTCAAAGTGTACTTGTAAAGTTAAACTTAATTACATGCTATTATGCAATGAGAGACATTTGCAAAAGTATTATCTGGGTTCGATAATTTGCGCGTGAAATTGTGCTAGAAAAATAAAGGGAACATTTAGGTGACCCCTGGTGTGTTTCCAAAGAATTTGTTATGCCCAAATATTTAGATTGCAACATCTTATACATTTTAAGATTTCATTGTTTGATTTTGAATATACTCAACGACCATCATAGTTCATACACCAAATGAGGACAATCAATGGTTCATTATAGAGCTGTAGTTGGCAATCTTAGATAGGCCTCTATTGTACAAATCGTGTCACCGATATCGTAGAGGATCATACAACACGAGCTGTGTGACGACATTTTCATTAGACTTTGCTCGCCACAAAATCTTTATCACTAGATTCCCAAATGGTCGTTCCATCACAAGTGCATATCTTTTTATAGTTCTCTCGAACTCCAGCACTTCTAGCAATGACAGCTGCTGTCAAACCCGCATCTGATTTGTCTTCAGTTTCGTACACTGCTACTGATCTGCCAATCAGATAAACAATTCGTAGCTTTTGTTTGACACCAGAGAAGAAGGCATCCCCCTCCTTATCGGCTTCTAATGTTCTCAGGTCACCAAGTGGCTGCAGACAAACAAAGGATCATCTAAGGAAGTTAGTTGAAAGGATGAAGGCCAAATGGTCAATCATCAAGCTGAATATCATAATATCATTGCAGTTGTGTAAGTTATCCAAACCTCGTTTTCAGAGCTCTCATTTGGAGGATTAAACACCTTTCCTGTGCTGGCTGCACCATTTGTGAGGTCACCAAACTCGTTGATAGACCACCCGTGTTTTCCAGGTAACAACCCACTGAGGTTGGCTTCAATCCTAGCTAATTCCATATTCACTTGTGCAAAGCGAACCACTCCAAAGATATCTGGGCCTTTGAACTCAGCAACAGCAGCAGACACCAAAAAGTCTGGCATATGCAATAGACAGACGTCACTATGATCAACCAACGATTACAGACTTTAAATGTTGTACTGGACACGAGCATCCTATAACAAGGATAATTAAAAGAGAACAAATCGCAAGTAATTAGGATGAGCACTGAAGCCTTTTGTCTCAAGTCTAACACTGGAAGCATTTGAAATCACTGAACAGCAAGATAACTAGATTCCTATCTTCTGCAACTTGATACTTTCAGGTTGATGGCTATCTTCTATTTTGCAGCTCACAACTTTAGCATAAACGTACAACCTATGCTATGACTTCAATCTTGCAGACAAACAAATGATTCTATGCTATGACACAGAGCTTTAGAAATGTGTAAACTACCTGTGTAGTATCAATTGAGAGTGCAGCAAGAACCATTTAAATGAAAAGAGGAATTACTCAAATCTGTCAACTTAGAGATACCAGATGTTCAGTTGACCTACCTTCAGGCACTCCCTGGCCAATCAGTCGGGCATTTCGACCGGTTTGCTTCAAAGCTTCAGTCATCTCTTTCACAGATGAAGAGCCAAGAACCCTAACCACTTGATTACTCAAATCCACTTCCACATTCTTTACACCTGAAAGTACTCTCCCACTCATATCAATACAAAATCAATCCAAATCGATGTTATTCTTTCATCCTGAAAGAAGTTACCTTTCACAGTCTGCAATTTGTTCTTCACTGACTTGACACACCCTTCACAGCTCATATCCACCATGAATTCCGTCTGTGAATCATGCCAAGAACAACAATTCAATTCCATTCAAAAACACATTTCAACTTGAAACCCCCTAGCCCGGGCATTCTAGTTCTACTAAAATTGAAAATCGGAAATGAATTCGGGCGAGAAGAAAAATGTTGCAACTTACAAGAAGGTCAGGCAGCAAGTCGCCATTGTCCTGCAATTATGACAGAGAGATCAAAGATTCGAGCTTTAAGGATCCAAATAGAACAATTAATACATAAACAGATTGAGAGAGAGTTCAGAACTGGAACCTGAGAGGTGGGTTGGTTGTGATCGGAGGTGGGTGCGTCCATGGTGACGGCAGTGAGAGGTTGCTTCCAGTGATTGAAAAGGCCAAAACGAGGTGGAGAGAATGCAAAAGAGGAGGAGGAAGAAGAAGAGGAAATGAAAGCAGGTTTGGAGGTTTTAGTATTTGGGGAAGAGAAGAGAGTGAAAGCAGTAGAAGGAAGAATTGCAGAGGCTGCTATGGCTGTCTTGGTTACTGCCGCCGAACTCAGCAGAAATGCCATTTTTAAGGTGGGAGAATAGATTGATTATCAGAGTCGCACCTCCATTACCCAGATCCTTTTTTGTTTTTTGTTTTTTTTTTTTTTGTCTTCGGTAGACTTTCTAGAGGCGTCTGGCTTAAATTGGTTAACCTGGTTCTTCAGAATTTTCAATTTTGGAATCATTAAATATTTTGTTCGTAAAACAATATATGGAATTATTGATAATAATATAAAATATTAAAGGTACATCTATAAATCTATAGTAATGGTGATTTTGATAATATAACTCACATACCCATAAAAAAATTATAATATAACTCACATCTGTACATCTCTTTTTTTCTTTTTTTTTTTTATAATGCACATCTATAGACTATATACATCTCTTGTAATCGTGATTTTGATAATTCAACTCAACTTAAACCAAACTCACTCCTTAATTATATAATAATAACTAACGAGAAATATATCAAGTTGCACAAATATTAAGTATTTATGAAATGTAGTTTCAAAAATTCATTTATTACGTAGATTCGGCCAGGGGTGGTAATCGTTCGTTACTGGTTATCAGTATACCGATTACTATTGTTTGAACCATCTAGCTCCGGTATGAATAATGATATTTGTTGGTGTGGGGTTGACTCACGATCCGTTCGTCTGATCTCGTCGGGAGGGAAGGAACCTATGAAAGAGCCGGGGTTGTCCCCCGGATTAAGCTCCGACGATCAAGTCAGCGTATGTTTGAGGAGAGAGTTGAGAGAATAGATAGAGAGAGTAGTGTAGAGAGATAGCAGAAAGTGGAAAGTGAGGGGAGAGGAAAAGTCCCCCTCTTTGGAGGGCTTCAAGCCCTTATATACCTGTAGCGGGTACCGAGTGTTGCCATCGCCGATTGTGTGCTCCCCTACTCAGTCTGTGCACGAAGTATTTAGTAACACCCCCAACAATTGCCCCCCAAGCTGGTGGTGAGTTTTAACTCATCGCTAGCTTATATATATATATATATATTTAAATCTTCGTCGGTAATTCTAGGTGGAGTTGAGAAACTTTAAAATAGCGCGCTGCACCTTTGAATCACAAACAATGATTGTAGCGTACTGGTATTGTTGCTTGGCACGCGGAAGAGTGACGCGAGTTCGAACCTTCGCGGCGACAATAATATTTTTGATGTGGCGCCTGTTGGATGCGTGACGCGAGCCCGCATGGAGGATTGGGCCTGGTGCGACGCGGGCTGGTGGAGTGCGCGGCACGGGCCGCGACTTGGTTGGGCCGCGCGGGCTGGTGGAGTGCGCGCCGCGGGCCGCGACTTGGTTGGGCCGCGCGAGCTGGTGTGACGCGGTGAGGACCGCTAATTGGAGTTGGAGCGGAGTATACTCTTCATAGCTGTGCGTCGGACATTCTGTTGTCAACGACATGATGCAGTCCACTGGTCCGCACTCTAGTCTTGTAATGCTTGAACGTGGGTTCGAATCCTCCAGGGAGTATTATTTTTTCTTGAGGGCGGAGTTAAAGGATGGATGTGAAGCGGGCCGCGAGTAGAGTTGTTGTGAATTGGGCCGCGATCGAGTGAATTTATAAGGAGCGTCGCGCTTTAGTAGTAATAATATGCTTTAGTCTACTGGTTGACATGCCCGCCCGGTGGAGGAATGGCGCGGGTTCGAGCCCTCGCGGTGACAACAATTTTTTATGAGCTTCTCATCTGCTGGGCTTGGGTGGGACTGCATCCCTTAAACGGAGCGGGCTGGTGGCTTTGTGTGAAGCGCAGATCGGGACAGGCGCGAGTGCAGGCCGCGACATGGGCTTGGCGATCCACGAGTTGGGCCCCATGTGCAAGTTTGGTCCCGCGCTTGTGGTGGGCTGTAGAGGAGGATCAAAAGAAGTCTGGGCCGGCTTTGTGCGCGGGCCGTGAGCCGCGAGTGTGGGCTTGTTAAGCGGGCTGCTTATGTAGAGCGGGCTTGGGTGGGTAGAGTGACGCGGAGGAGGCATGGGCCTTGAAGCTGAGCGGGTCCGGCCCGGGGCTGTTGTTGCCGACACTCTTGGCGCTACCTTTTGCTTTTTTTTTTCTTTTCTTTTTTTTTTTAAATGTGCTTCCAGCCTGTCGTCTTGGGAACCTCACCAGTCCTTTCCTTCTGACAGGGAGGGAATGTGGCTCAGAGATAGCTGTCCCCTCGATTTGATCTGTGGCCGTATACTGTAGCGGAGTAGGCTGCTTCTTCATCTTTTTATTTTTTTATTACTGTTGGGGAGGCTGAAGAGAAAGTGATGATGTTGGTTGTGGAGCGGCTATTCTTCCTTCCTCGTTTAGGCTCCGGCGCCGCGTCTCTCTCTGGCGGTCGGAATTTTCACCGTTGTTTTTTTTTTTTTGGCGCCTTTTTTCTTCTTTGTTCGGATTGTTGGCAGCTCGTTTCTCCTTAATCGGAAGGGGTTCTTCTTGTACGAGCTCCCGAAGAGGTGAACGAAAGGAGGATAAAACGTGGTCTGGCTTTCTTCTTTTTTGCTAACACGATTGATTCTGTTTTGTTGCTGTCGTCGCTTGTAGTGATGGAGGAAGAGGCGGCTTTTCCTCCTTTCGAAATCAGACGAACAAGTATCCAAATCTGCCCCACGGTGGGCGCCAATTGTTTGAACCATCTAGCTCCGGTATGAACAATGATATTTGTTGGTGTGGGGTTGACTCACGATCCGTTCGTCTGATCTCGTCGGGAGGGAAGGAACCTGTGAAAGAGCCGGGGTTGCCCCCCGGATTAAGCTTCGACGATCAAGTCAGCGTATGTTTGAGGAGAGAGTTGAGAGAATAGATAGAGAGAGTAGTGTACAGAGATAGCAGAAAGTGGAAAGTGAGGGGAGAGGAAAAGTCCCCCTCTTTGGAGGGCTTCAAGCCCTTATATACCTGTAGCGGGTACCGAGTGTTGCCATCGCCGATTGTGTGCTCCCCTACTCAGTCTGTGCACGAAGTATTTAGTAACACCCCCAACAATTGCCCCCCAAGCTGGTGGTGAGTTTTAACTCATCGCTAGCTTATATATATATATATATATATATATATATATATATATATATATATATATATATATATATATATATATTTAAATCTTCGTCGGTAATTCTGGGTGGAGCCCTATGTACCCCAGTTGCCCCCCAGATGGTGGCGCGTTTGACTGACGTGGTGCCAGCTTCTTGCGTCTTGCCCCCCATTAGCGCCATTAACGCTCAGGCAAGTAAAATATTTCAATATTTAATAATGATAGAGGGACAGAGTACTTAGCTTTATGTTGGCGACGGGTAGTGAGACCAAGTTGGACCTTGCGCGGTTGCCTTGTGGGTCGGAGCTTGACGCGGAGCGGATCGGGCGACTTCGTTGGAAGGCCGCGAGCGGATGGTCCCGTGACGCTTTTGTCGAACTGAGTGGGCGCGAATAGTGCGGGACTATTGCTATTTTTTGTTCCGTGAAACTGAGTGTGCGCGAATAGTTCATGACTATTGCGACTTTTTGTTTGTTCCGTGGAACTGAGTGGACGCGAATAGTGCGGGACTATTGCTATTTTTTGTTCTGTGGAACTGAGTGTGCGCGAATAGTTCATGACTATTGCGACTTTTTGTTTGTTCCGTGGAACTGAGTGGGCGCGAATAGTGCGGGACTATTGCTATTTTTTGTTCCGTGGAACTGAGTGTGCGCGAATAGTTCATGACTATTGCGACTTTTTGTTTGTTCCGTGGAACTGACTGGGCGTGAGTAGTTAAACATCAGATGCCGCGCCATTGAAACAAAGGCCTTGCACGTAGCTTGCTGGTAATATTGCATGCCAGGCAGAGGAGTGGCGCAGGTTCGAACCCTCGCGGCGCCATCAATTATTTTTGAAGGCTTCCGTGCGTTGGGCCAAAAGCAGAGCGGGGCGCGCTGGTGGGCTGATCAGGACGCGGGCCGGGTCTGGGCCGCGCGGGCCGGGTAATATTGCATGCCAGGCAGAGGAGTGGCGCGGGTTCGAACCCTCGCGGCGCCATCAATTATTTTTGAAGGCTTCCGTGCGTTGGGCCAGAAGCAGAGCGGGGCGCGCTGGTGGGCTGATCAGGACGCGGGCCGGGTCTGGGCCGCGCGGGCTGGGGGACGCGGGCCGGGGTTGGGCCAGAAGCAGAGCTGGACGCGAGTTGGAGTTGAGAAACTTTAAAATAGCGCGCTGCACCTTTGAATCACAAACAATGATTGTAGCGTTCTGGTATTGTTGCTTGGCACGCAGAAGAGTGACGCGAGTTCGAACCTTCGCGGCGACAATAATATTTTTGATGTGGCGCCTGTTGGATGCGTGACGCGTGACCGCATGGAGGATTGGGCCTGGTGCGACGCGGGCTGGTGGAGTGCGCGGCACGGGCCGCGACTTGGTTGGGCCGCACGGGTTGGTGGGTCGCGCCTGGTGAGGCGGGCTGGTGGAGTGCGCGCCGCGGGCCTCGACTTGGTTGGGCCGCGCGAGCTGGTGTGACGCGGTGAGGACCGCTAATTGGAGTTGGAGCGGAGTATACTCTTCATAGCTGTGCGTCGGACATTCTGTTGTCAACGACATGATGCAGTCCACTGGTCCGCACTCTAGTCTTGTAATGCTTGAACGTGGGTTCGAATCCTCCAGGGAGTATTATTTTTTCTTGAGGGCGGAGTTAAAGGATGGATGTGAAGCGGGCCGCGAGTAGAGTTGTTGTGAATTGGGCCGCGATCGAGTGAATTTATAAGGAGCGTCGCGCTTTAGTAGTAATAATATGCTTTAGTCTACTGGTTGACATGCCCGCCCGGTGGAGGAATGGCGCGTGTTCGAGCCCTCGCGGTGACAACAATTTTTTATGAGCTTCTCATCTGCTGGGCTTGGGTGGGACTGCATCCCTTAAACGGAGCGGGCTGGTGGCTTTGTGTGAAGCGCAGATCGGGACAGGCGCGAGTGCAGGCCGCGACATGGGCTTGGCGATCCACGAGTTGGGCCCCATGTGCAAGTTTGGTCCCGCGCTTGTGGTGGGCTGTAGAGGAGGATCAGAAGAAGTCTGGGCCGGCTTTGTGCGCGGGCCGCGAGCCGCTAGTGTGGGCTTGTTAAGCGGGCGGCTTATGTAGAGCGGGCTTGGATGGGTAGAGTGACGCGGAGGAGGCATGGGCCTTGAAGCTGAGCGGGTCCGGCCCGGGGCTGTTGTTGCCGACACTCTTGGCGCTACCTTTTGCTTTTTTTTTTTTTTTAAATGTGCTTCCAGCCTGTCGTCTTGGGAACCTCACCAGTCCTTTCCCTCTGTCAGGGAGGGAAGGTGGCTCAGAGATAGCTGTCCCCTCGATTTGATCTGTGGCCGTATACTGTAGCGGAGTAGGCTGCTTCTTCATCTTTTTATTTTTTTATTACTGTTGGGGAGGCTGAAGAGAAAGTGATGATGTTGGTTGTGGAGCGGCTATTCTTCCTTCCTCGTTTAGGCTCCGGCGCCGCGTCTCTCTCTGGCGGTCGGAATTTTCACCGTTGTTTTTTTTTTGCGCCTTTTTTCTTCTTTGTTCGGATTGTTGGCAGCTCGTTTCTCCTTAATCGGAAGGGGTTCTTCTTGTGCGAGCTCCCGAAGAGGTGAACGAAAGGAGGATAAAACGTGGTCTGGCTTTCTTCTTTTTTGCTAACACGATTGATTCTGTTTTGTTGCTGTCGTCGCTTGTAGTGATGGAGGAAGAGGCGGCTTTTCCTCCTTTCGAAATCAGACGAACAAGTATCCAAATCTGCCCCACGGTGGGCGCCAATTGTTTGAACCATCTAGCTCCGGTATGAACAATGATATTTGTTGGTGTGGGGTTGACTCACGATCCGTTCGTCTGATCTCGTCGGGAAGGAAGGAACCTGTGAAAGAGCCGGGGTTGCCCCCCGGATTAAGCTCCGACGATCAAGTCAGCGTATGTTTGAGGAGAGAGTTGAGAGAATAGATAGAGAGAGTAGTGTAGAGAGATAGCAGAAAGTGGAAAGTGAGGGGAGAGGAAAAGTCCCCCTCTTTGGAGGGCTTCAAGCCCTTATATACCTGTAGCGGGTACCGAGTGTTGCCATCGCCGATTGTGTGCTCCCCTACTCAGTCTGTGCACGAAGTTTTTAGTAACACCCCCAAAAACTATTAGTGACAATTAAGTTGCTGCCCACTATCGATATCGACAAGAATTCGATTAACCGGTTGATCGGCTAACGGTTAGCAACCGGTTACCGTCACAAGTATGGTTGCTCATAAACTTGGGACAAATTGGGAGCATAGCGGATCAGCATCGGAGGCCAAGATGCTTCTCCACTCCACACACGTCCTTTCTTATTCCCTAACCAATTAACCACTTCATCTTTCCCCTTCACGTGGTGATGCTACTGCTACTGATTGTTCCCATGGTCAGAGTAATCGTTCCTCCAATCCAGGTGAAACTACTATGGCCGTCAAAAGCTTTGGTGGCTGGAGAATGAAGAAGTTGTTTTTGAGAAGAAATAAAGATAACATTCGACAATAACAACAACAAAAAACCCCGAACAAGACCTACGATTCAGCGACGACTTCCTCTGAGCATGCATCATTGGTCATGAGAAACATGCATCATCTGGCTGGAACCTGACCTCAACTTGCTTTGTCTGCCTCGCGGAGAGCTCGCCTCCGATGATCTGAAATGGAAGGGAATAAGAGATCTGGGGGATTTGATGACGAAAAGGAAGAGTGAGAAAGGAAGGGAAGAAGGCGCTATATCTCTCGCCATGGAAGGAGGCAGCGGAGGAGCAGAAACGACTGAGGGGATGGAATCGTCGTGGGTTGTTTCTTCTTCTGCTCTTCGATTTCTTCGGAGAGCAACTCCAACTCTGAGTCGATTCCATTGCCTTCTCGGATTGTTACACGAATCATGTGTTATCCAGTATATTCGGTATACCGAGTAACCACCGGTTACTAACCGGGTATGAGTCGGTATACTGAATGATGGATTTGTGCTATCGTAGATTGATACCACCGGTTATTGATTTAATCGACAATCGACAATCGCCAGTTACTAATACTGTTACCTATTAAACCATTAACCAACTAGCCGATTACCAGCCCTAAATTCGACTATGCATATGGTGACTTCCAAGTCAATTGTTACTTAGAGAAAACGGTTAACCACTTACAGAAAGTAAGCGGTCCACCATATGACATGCTTACCATAAAACTCCTATTACAAAGGAAAACAATGATCAATCACTTGTTTTCATTGATCAATCAAATTTAAGAGCAAATACCGACCTCAACAAGACCGATTTTATGGTCGACCATTACATTGAATATACCGAATTAAAGAGGGGATGCATACACCAACATAAATTTGCTATACCGGTCGATCGCCTCCTCATACAGGTCGACCACTTTCAATTGAAGACACTAATCAGCATGCATGATGTTTGTTCCAATCGACCGTCATGTTGTGGAGATCGAATAGATATGGAAACCAAAATGTTGATTATTGAAATCTTACAAACTACACTATAGATTTGCTAATTCAATCCACAATCATAGTTGTACAAAAACAAATAGTATACAGTAGACTACTCAATCCACAACCCAAACATACATTTTACAGTAGTCCACAAATAGCTCTAACTCAACCCTAACAAAGTAATGGTCCACCGATCAACCATTTTATTGAAGGCCAAATACACTTGTGTAGCCAAAATTTTATCGGTTTTGCCAAATATAGCCACTTTTGAATAAATACCAAAAACAACCAAAATTTGGATAGTTGAATGACAAATCTAGCCATTTTCGTTAGAAACTTTAACGGTGTTAGATATTCCGTCAGTTAAGTTAACGTCTTGTTGATTAGGATGCCACCTCAAAACCCACGTCAGCAATAACTGAACCACAAGTGACACGTAGATGACACGTAATATTTTATTTAAAATTAATTAATTAATTTTTAACAAAAATCCATTGTAAAAAAAATAAAAAACCTGCCCGTCTTCCGCTCACCACCGTCCATTCATGTTAAACTCGCCGTCAACCTCAGCTTTCCGGGAGCAAGAGTAACCCAGAAAGAAAACAATCTCCCAAAATGAAATATGCTCACATATGAAGCTGCAGTCATGACGTGTGGAGGAATGGGGACTTCTACTGATTCTTGTTTCACCACTCGCTTCAATTGTACACTGAAGAACAAAATCAGAGAAAAAGAGCAAAAAACATTGGGAATCAGTTTATACCAAGTGGGGAGATTAATGACGTAGTTAATGAGTATCTTGAGCTTGCTCCCGCCGTCCAACGACAGCTCGGCATGCATCTCCTCATCCATAGCATCGGTGAGCTTCTGCAGCTTCTCCACCGGCGCCGCACACTTGCGCTGGAACGCATCCGCAATCACCCTCGCCTTCTCTCACTTCTCCAATTCCCGAGAGATACATTTTGTCGACTGGGCCTTGTGATGGTCGGATATGGAAAATCTCTCTAGTATTATTCCGATCTGTTGTCATCCGATGGCCCTTCGACGACCACAAGAAAGATGGAGACAACAATCGACGCTTAATCTCCATGCTGCTGCTCTTGTTCTCCCAATTCCATAGAGGAGACGACCTAGGTTGCTGATCCCATCTCGAACCCAGACAACAGTCTAACCCTAAAATCAAATAGAACAAATCCCTCTGTATCACTTCTCTATCGCTTCGTCTCCTTCCCTTCCCGAATCGATCAAGGTGTTGAGGTCTGAGAAGAGAATCGGTTCGTTGTAGAGAAGAAGAAAGCAAACTCTCCCCCCAACGCCTCTGTCTCTGTTTCGCCGTCGCCCCTGTTCTGGAATCTGACTCTAACCAGCCCATGCGACGGCTGAAGAACGGGAGGAATGTAGCTAGCTTATCCATCCCTCCATCTCACCCTCCTCATTATCACTTTTATTTAAAATAAATTAAAAAAACCCTAATTTATTCTAATCACTAATACCAATACACCCGCCGACATACCCTCGTGGTCGCAAAGCTAGAGACGATGCTGCAGATAACGTAGGCAGAATACCCTCGTCGTCACCAGCTCTAGCAGACAACACAACCTTTCGACGATCTGCTCGCAGCCTTTCGATTGCAGGAACAAACCCAACCTTTCGTATCCTTTCTGGGCAACCAATCACCGTCTGCAAGAATGAGGGCATCCGGATTTCGAGCTGGTCGGATGCGGCGGCGAAATTCAGCACCCTGTTCTCGTAACATAGTCGTCACTGCAGCTCCGCCTAATTGGGGTCAATCAGTCATCGAAAACCCTGACCGCCGCCCTGCCCGATTATCGAAACACAGCTTGCCCGCGAATCAACGCGATTCTGAGTAGCTCGCTGCTCGCTCCTTCCCCTCTCGAAACTGCGGCCGCACTTCAGAATCTGACCTTGTTCTTCGGCTGCCCGTCGTCAAGTGTGTGGATTACACATACGAGGCTGTTGTATTCGGTTGCCGGCGATTTGGTCTCGTTCTACGCGAACGAGACGGTTGCAAGGGATTTGAGTTTGGGAGGGCTGTTTGAGTCATGTAGTGGGAGAGTGGTTTTCCCGATTCCGGCAGGTGTTGAAAAGTTGGGTTTGTTCCCGCAATCGAAAGGGTGCGAGCCGTTATCTGCATCATGTCTCCAGCTTTGCGACGACGAGGGTATGCTGCCGGCTGGTGTATTGGTATTGGGATAAGAAAAGATTAGGATTTTTTATTTATTTAAAATAAAAGTGATAATAAGGTGGAAATGAGATGAGAATGTTTAAAAATTAATTTCATTATTTTTAAATTGCCATGTCACACATTTAACGGTGAATTTTTAGAGTTGATCGTCACGTAAGCAAAAGTTAATGAAGTTGGACGGAAAGTGAGCAAACATGAACGATTTCAGTAAACTGAACTACCATCAATGAATTTGAATATTTCGAATGATAAACTTAGAACTTTTTTAATCTCAGTCACAAGACTCACAACTATACAATTAACCCCGTTTCATACACCAAATATTAACTTTTCACAAGCCAGCGGGAGCCACTAAAACTATCTCCAATTCTCCGGCTAACACCCTCAGGCCTTAGCAAGTCTCGAGTCGTCTCTCTCCATCCGACCAAAACACCCTTCTCCTCCGACCTCCGGCGCCGCCTTCTTTTCTCCCAGCTCGATTTTCATCCAATCCAATACCTATCTGAAGGCCGCGCAGCAGCTACTACGTCAGCGTCCCGCCTATCGGTTGCGTTGTTTTAACCCTAGCATTTTTTTCCTTCAAGAAAGTAGAATCCGTAATAGCCTTCGATTGGCCAACGGGGTCGTCGTGGTAGCTCTTCCACCATAAACCGGCCCCTCCAGTTCTCAATCTGTTTTGGAATAGAGATTTATTTGATCGACGCCGCCGATTCTGTTATCAACAGGTCATTGTGATCTTTTGCTTCAAAGTTCAGTCAAATTGAGCTGCAACCTTTTTGTTTCTCTTATTTACCTTTGCTTGGGTTTAGCAGGTGGCGTATCTGAAGGTATTCGCAAGTTCTGGGGGCAGTAAAGGTCTGTACTTTGGCCAGTATACTTTGTTGCTCCTCAAATTTTGGCTGCTTTTTGTTTTGTTCAATATATATGAGATTCCAGCTTTTTCCTTAGAGTTGATTTTCAGTCTCTTACCCACCATTGCTTCCATGTGATAAGGTGCCTAGCTATCAGCTGCTTATTCAGTCTTGCGGTTACTGAAGAGTTGTCTCCACATTGGTGACTTATGGGTCCTTTGCCTGATAACACTGCCGATGGATCAGTGACCAACATGGAGCAGTTTCTTTGCGAACGATTAGTTGACCCCTCCCAGCCAATATCTGAAAGGTTCAGGGTCCTCTTTTCGCTTCGTAACCTCAAAGGCCCAGGACCTCGGGCTGCTCTTATTCGAGGTTGGCTTTTGTTCCTCCTCCTTCTATCACTCGGTAGGACTAAGTCTGGTGAATGTTAGCATCCGCAACATTGAGAAACTAGATCGTTGTTGCTGTTGTCAGTTTAGAATCATAACCTTTTGTGGGGTGATTGATGGAATGTCCAAGACTTACCTTATTGTTGGGCTCCAACCTTTCAAGCTTGCATCTTTTGTTTTCCAACAAGAGTGATCGTTTATTTATCATGAATATGGTGATATCGAAGTGCTATAGCTGCTAATTCTGTTGAGGTATGGTAATTCTAGATGCTGGTTCAGGCTAATAAGACAGGTGAATGTCACTCTTATTAATCATGGGTAGCAGAAGATTGAGAACTTCATGACCATTGCGATTATGTTTGTGCCTTTGTGGCTTATCTTTTCTATTTGAATCCTCCAAATTCTTGGGCCTAGAATTGACTATTTTGTCCTTTTGGTCATCTGGACATATCTGGATTTGAACTGCTGAAAGGTATTTTTGGACAGTGTCTAATTGTTGTATGCTTCTTCTGATTTTGATTAAGGTTGCATTGATTTTTCTTTTGCATGATTAGCAACAAGGGACTCCTCTAATTTGTTGGCACACGAGGCTGCATTTGCATTAGGCCAAATGCAGGACTCTGAGGCTATCCCAGCTCTGGAAGCAGTTCTAAATGATCTCTCTTTGCACCCAATTGTTCGCCATGAGGTGGTGAACGTTCTCAATCTTTTCTCCTTCCTAATATTGTCGATCGGGTGGTGTCTAAGTATATGTTTTTCTTTCTTTTTCTTACAGGCTGCAGAAGCCCTTGGTGCAATTGGGTTGGAGAGTAATATACCACTTCTGAAGAGAAGTTTGGTTGTAGATCCGGCTCAGGAGGTCAGAGAAACTTGTGAACTGGCTCTCAACAGAATTCAGGAGATGAATGCTGCAAATCGTGGTGATCAATCAGCCGTAATGGATAAGTCCCCCTTTTTGTCAGTTGATCCAGCTGCACCAGCATTCTCTTGTTCTTCTGTCAATGAGCTCAGGTATTGTCTTTTTCTGGTTCAGATGAAACCCTATCAAACTACTTACTTTGTATCTTATCCAAAAACTACTTCCACGAATAATAATAAACCTCCTTTAGGGAAGTTCTTCTTGACGAGGAAAAAGCTATGTATGAACGATATGGGGCTCTTTTTGCACTCCGTAACCATGGCGGGGATGAAGCCGTTTCTGCTATAATAGATTCATTACAGTCCAAGAATGCCCTGCTTAAGCACGAGGTTTGTTAGTTTTCCTTTGCATTAACAGTTTGGTAGGCCTTAGGACTTCTTTGTTTAAACAGCCAATCCAATAGCTACTTGAGCTTTGGGGATGATGGGCCAACCTTATTTCTCTGATTTATATAGTTCTGGTTTCTTCCACGTTTCAGGTTGCCTATGTTTTGGGCCAGTTACAAAACAAAGCTACTTCAGCTGCACTTAGCGCCGTACTTAGTGATGAAAACGAACATCCAATGGTTAGGCACGAAGCTGCTGAAGCTCTTGGTTCGATTGCTGGTTCGTCATCGTGCTTCTCCTAAATTTGTCTTTTAAATTGTTGCTCCTACTGTTTAGAATGCACAATAGCAGTACGCTTAGCATTCCCCGATTTCTAGTGCGGGTGAAGGATCCATACTGATGAGTTTCATAATTGCCCTGTAGATGGTAAAAGCATTGCTCTTCTGGAGGAATTCTCAAAGGACCCTGAGCCTATTGTCTCACAGAGCTGTGAAGTCGCCCTAAGCATGCTGGAATACGAAAGATCAGGAAAATCTTTCGAGGTACATTTCCTTTCCATTCTTCCTTTATCGCTTGTCAAATACTACGTACAAACATCTTCGTGCATAACTGACTGCTCCTGTATCTTTTTGCAGTACCTCTTCATGCGAGATCCACTAGCACAGGCTTAAACTAGTCATGACTCTTCCTGCAAATTTTCAAATCTGCTAAACCTCAAAACAGTTGGTAGTCCTTGATTGAAGCAGTCGATAGCTTTCAGTACACAACAGCATCTATCTTCTCTTGTCGAGATCATATGTTGCTTTAAGTTTGATATGAACAGTCAATATAGTGAACTCATTAACTTATCTAAGCTTTACAAAATCTTTAATACAAGCTAGGATTGGAAGAATCAGATCCGAGAAGGCCCTAATTTTTTTTTCTTTCTGTTTGCTGTTCTTACTGTTCGTTTCGCTCTACCCTTAAACACCAACTATAAGATTTTTGCCTGGATGGATGAGCTTTTCCATGGCTGGATGAGTGAACTGAAAAGAGAAGGGCCAAGTGACCGATTGCGCAAAGTCTAATTATTTTATCAACAATATTGTATTTGATTAGCACTCTGGTCTCTAACGTTTCTTTGTTGGAAGTGTTTTTGTTCGAGTCTCCTGTACCATACCAGAATTAGTGACCTAAATAACAAGGGTGGAACCTAAAACTACGAAAGAAATCAATCAACGGTCACTCCTTTTAGGAACATGGCTTGTTCATTCACTTGCTCATGAACTCGCAGCTGGAGAAATTGAGTGAGAGTTCCCGTCAAATCTACTGCTTATTGCGAGTTTGAAATCCCACTCCCGAAAGAGATTGTTAAGTTTGTTATGGTTCCGGACCAACTCCGAGTGTCATCAGATTCAGACGAGATAGACTTGGCTTTAGAAGACTAAGAGTTCTTTCCTGATGGTGTATGAAATCATACTAGTCCCAGGCTTTTTTTTCTCCCGGTTTAAGTCCGATGAGAATAATATTTTACGTTTGGGCACCCCGTAGATTATTGTTCTATTAGACTATTACTAGTTAATCACAACATATAATCTTCTATAAAATATAATAAGACTTTTCCAAATAAAGCCTTCTCCGTTTCAAATTTCTTACACTATCATGCATCCACGTCAGCATCACTTTCTCTCTCTATATGTTTTTCACGAAATCAGAACTCTCTCCCTCTCAGTTTTTTTTTATGAAACCGTCACTTTCTCCATTTTTCCTCTTCCTCAGCATCTAAATTCTTATTGCTTTTCTTTCATCAATTGGCCTTTTACATATCCTTCCCTATTTTTATTTTTCTCGTGTAGCAAGTGGAAAAGAATTATTCCAATTTCTATAAAAAATTAATAAAGTATATATATTTTTTCTTTGATTGCATTAAATTTCGTGTGAAATGGTAAATTCTTATCTCCATTTGTAAGCATGTAGTTAAATTTTATTCCAAAAATTCCATGTTTTTATTATTATTTATGTACACATAGTTTTTTTTAACAACGAGAAGCTTTCATTTAAATGGGATGAATTGTTTTTTTTGGACAGATCTATTTCTATTAAGAAAAAAAAATTATGAAACCATTCTTTTCTGGACCTGATTATTGACTATAGGTTATTGTATGAGATAATTAATTTCAAAATATTTTTCTTGAATATATTAGTTGCAATATTATTTTGGAGGCTAAAGGTTTTTACCTCAATATTATATTGGCACTTCATGATTCACGATTTTTTTTTTGTAAAACTGATAAACGATTTAATATAGATTGTTTTGCAATAGTTACTGTTTGTGACACGATACCCAGTTAGGGATCTCGCAGATCCACTCCTACACGGCGCCTGCCAGCACACACGAACACTGAGGGGGCGCCTGGGCCCATTAATCCTCCGACGCCCAAGTTAGTTCCTAGAGAGAGAAGTGTCTCCTAGCTGGAGTTATGGTGAGAGAATCCAACCTGTGTAAATGCTACCAACTGCCCCTATTTATACTCACCAGAGTTCGAGGTTGATCTCCTCCACGTCACTGTCTCCATTTAATGTCTTGTACTTTCATTGTCAGATATCCCAACTGCCTTGTCAGGCTTCTGGCACGTGACAGGCGCCCGCAGACGATGGACCACTTGACAGCCTGGCCTCTCTTGACAGTCCGACCTCTTTTGGCTTCTAGTGTCTTGTCTTCATGCGTCCCCCACCTTGTTTGGGCCTATAATTGCTTTGCACTTCCACTTACGGGCCTTGCCCCCCAATTCTGTTGCTTGGAAGCCCAAACTGCCGCTCATTGGGCCTCGCTCATAATACCCCCAACAATTGCCCCCCAGTTAAGTGCTCACGGTTTTACCTTTGAGCGCCTAACTGACTCTTCTATCGTGGCCTTTCATCTTCTTTATTTATAGGCGTCCGATCCTCCGGATGCGCCGGTCTTTACGACACTCGGATTCGCCGATAGGCGTCCCACTTTTCACGGCGCCCTCTGTTTTGTGTGCTTTCCCCTCGTAATTTATGGGCGCCTTTTTTGGATCTTTTCGGGCGTCCCTCAGTGGCTGTCTGTGAGGGGTGTCCCTAGCCCTTATGGGGGGGGGGGGGGCAGGGTTTTGAAGTGGGCCCACATGTTCCTTGCTTGGAAAATTCAAAATTAAAAATTTGGAAATTTGAAAATTCGAAATTGGAATTTTGTAATTTTCCAAAAAGACAAAAGGAAGGAAAAAGTAAGGGGAAGCTCAAAAGCCCGCCCATGATATTGACACGTGGCGAGCGACGCGGGCTTTGGTTTGAGTCCCTCTCCCCTTTAAATACTCCTCCCTCCCTCAGTTCTTGTCACTTTCTTCCAATCACCCTCTCTCCAAGATTTTGCTCTGACCTCTCTCTAGATTCCGCTCTGACTTCTCTCTAGATCCCTCTTGCAAACGTCATCACTTCTTTCCGGTCAAACAAGAATGTCGTCGCCACAACAGCACAAGACTTCCGGTCAAGGGGCCCCTGGCGCGGGTGCGGCTGGTGCAGGCGCCCCGGGGGCGGGCGCTTCGGGCACCGGTGTTGAAGCAAGGCGCCTGACTCAAAGCGGTAAGAAATCTTATCTTGTTGATTAACCGTTTTGGATTTATTCTAGCTATCTAAGGTAGGGCGTCACTTACTCCGCGTCCACGTTGCGCCTCGGTCGTTTGTTGCTTTAGAGAGGGCGCCTGCTTCTACGTCCGCTGGTCCGTCAAGCGTCTCGACTCCCGGTTTCATGCCCGCTGACGGGTCCTACAAGATTACAACGTGGGAGAGCTCCTTTCCACCCGACCACCTTCCAATGGAGACGTCCCAGTTGCCCTTCGACGTGGCCGGACCGATGCATACGTCGACTGTTACCCTTGCCCGCGTACATGAATTAGTGACCAGCCTCCAACTCCCGCGCGAATGGTGGTATGCGCCTCCCTCTGTGAATTCGCGAGTGGGCGTCTGCGGGCCTAAGTGGATTGGGGTGTACCAAGAATACTTCCGCTTTGGATTGTAGTTTCCCCTCGACCACATTATGGAGGGGATCCTGACGACCTGCGGTTGCCCACTAGGGCGCCTATCTCCCTCGGTCATTGTGATCGTAATCCTCTTCAAGTTGAGGTGTCGGGAACACAATGTGGATCCCACCTTCAACTTGTTCAAGTATTTTTTCAAGATGACACCCCTTGACAACTGCTTGTCGCTTCATAAGAGGAAGAAGAGCCCGTATCATTTTGTGACACGATGTCCGAAGCTGGGGCGCAGCTGGTTCAACGGGTTCTTCTTCATGAAGGCGTACCGAGATTCATTCTTTGAGAGTGTAGGCGCCTTTCTTAGGAAGTGGGAGTTGGGGCACATCGAGGATTTTAATGCGCCGGTCGTGCTGTTTCCTTCGGAGAAGGACGGAGCCCGCTTGATTTGTGAGCGGAGCGTGGACCTTCGCAAAACTGAAAACCGCCCCCCCATTCCCGAGGCGTATTATAATGATTGTTTGTAGGCGCCTAGATGTTATTTGTGTGCTCGTGTTGTGACTTGCGCTATTTAATCCTTTTGACTTGTGCTAATCATTTGTCACTGTGCAGGATCGGACTTCAGCAGCATCGCCAAGCTGATGAAAAGTCGGCTTGTAGCCATGATGGGAGGGGCGCCCCCATCGAGTCGGCCACAGGCGCCTGCTCCGGCCACCACCAAACCACAGGTGCCTCCTCCTGGCCCGAAGAAGAAGAAGAGGGCGGTGAAGGGGGGCACGACGAAGACCGCCTGTGTGGCGTCTTCGGCCCCTGAGGCTGAGGAAGAGGCGCCCGATGCTGAACACGCGGAGCAGGAGGGTAACTCCGGGGAGGAAGAGGCTGAACCCCTGATTCGTCGGGGGAAGCGCGCTGGGTCTCCGTTGGACAACGTCAGCAAGAGAGCTGACAGAGGGAAGGAAAAAGTGGGCGCCGATGCCTTGGGCGGGGAGGGGGGCGCCCAGTATCGCCTTAACGAAGAGGGGCAGTATGTGGGCCCGATGGGCGCCCCCCAATCTTCCAGCCACGCCGCTCGGATGTTGGGCGCATCGAATTGCCATGCTCCCCGCTGGTGGCGGTCGACCGAGGGTGCGCTATGGGGTTGGCGATCACGGCTGCCAAGATGTGGCAAGTGCCGTCAGAGATGAATGGGGATCATCTCTTTGCGGAACTGGCCAAAGTGGGCGCCAAGTTATATACCCTTTTACTTGTGCTCTCACGTTTGTGAAATTGCCTTTACGCGAATGCTAATTCTCTTTACTTGGTGTATGCAGATCCTTCTTTTTGCTGAGAGAGGCGCCCGGCGCCTCTCTAAAACCAAGCGAGAGGCGCTCTAAGCCTCTACTTCTGCCTCCTCCCTTAAGCATGATCTAGAAAACGCGACCGAGCGTCGCGAGCAGTTGGTGAAGAAGTGCAAGGAGTTACAGATGAATGCGGCCATTGAGGTGTCGCAGCTTCAGGGCGCTCTTGACGAAGAGCGCAATAAATCGGCAACCCTTCAGGCGGAGAAGGAGGGGTTGGCGCAGGAGGCAGGTGCCCATGCGAGTGAGATAGATATCCTCATGGAGGAGAAGAAGAGGTGGCAAGACGCCTACAAGGACTGTAAGAAATCCTTGAAAGAGGCGCGGAAAGAAATTTCCAACTTGCGCCATTCTTTGGACACCTTCGAGGAGTCCGAGGCTGGGAAAAGTATGAGCGCCAACGCCTGCTTGGCCGGCCTCCAAATTTTGAAGGTTAAGTTGGAGAAGGATCACCCCGACCTTACTTGGGATTTCACCGAGATGGCCGAGTATGTGATCGGGAAGATGGATACTCCTCGTGAAGCGGAGAAGGCGCCCGAGCCTCCTACTATAGATGAGCCTCCAAGTAATTCTGCTCCTGCCTCACCTTTCCCGAAGGCGCCTAGTGCTGGGGATGCCAACTCAGGAGCTGAGTAAAAAATGGGCGTCAACTACAGAGGATCTTTTTTTTTTATGTAAGCGTTTCCGTTTGTGGGCGCAATCTATATAAAACGTTTCCGTTGGTGTTGCCATCGTATTGCTTGGTTTTACTTAATTTTTTATCGCTTGACTTGGGCTCAAAAATTGTGGGCGCTTTGTAGCCATTGGGCGCAAGGTTGGGCGTGATTTCTGTTTATCATTGATTACCACGTTTCGAGGGCGCAAATTTGGGCGCGTTACTGCTCTGA